TAATATATAAATATACATCTTTAATTAATTTATTTTTTTCATATTATTATTTAGACTTATAATAACATGAACAATGTATTAATTTTCTAATATATAAACTGACGATATACACGCTACCGAAAACTTCAATATTAATTAACCTCATTTATACTCAGAGTTTACAACTATTATTATGGTGCTTACCCTAATAATTTGTAGTACTTAAATAATATTAATAGTAATATACATTATTATGTGTTCGTTATTATTAATATTAGTTTAGTTAGTTTTTTTTACGGTATACAATACATTTAGTTAGATAAAAAAAAAAAATTATATGATGTACTTATTTAACTTACGAAAATATTTCAAATTCTAATCTTTCAGCTTAATGTATAAAACTTTTATTTTCAAAAAATTTAAAATAAAAATTATTTGAAAATGTAAAATGTTTATTTGTTTTTATATTTAAAAAAAAGTTGGTATTACTTTAAAACTGTTATAAACTATGTTTTGTTCATACTTGTATGATAATGCAATATATGTGTTCATTATTATGTATTATTAAAAAATGTTGAATTGTTGAATTATTTCTTCTCATTTTCAATAAAAAAAAAAATGACTTAATTATAAGCATAGCATAATACCTAAGTATTATTTTTATTTTTTATTAATGAATATTTACAATCTCTACACATTGTTTATACAATAAGTAAATTTTATAATGTATATGGACATGAAACTTGTTAGAAGGTAAAGTCTAATGACACCACTTAATAAGTCTTAATAAGTCTTAATAAGTCTCTTCATAAGTCTCTTTGCCAATAATGTTTTAAACAACACAATGGGTAGATTGAGTTAAAAAAATAATTATGGTTAGAGATCAATGAATTTGAGTGGTTAATTATGGCTATGTATAATTTTTTTTATAGATTGGAATGATTGGAGTATACTATTTTTTGACTTTTTAGGTGCTCCCAAAATTTAGATACTATTATAATAGGTATAATTATATTGGTGTACGATCCGATGATAATTCGTGTAAAATAGATACTATGTGATTTATGTGATTTAGTAAGTTAATTAAGAAAACATAAAATATATTAAGTAGTTTTTATACGTTGGCTAATATGTTGGGTTAAGAGTAGTAAAAAAAAACTTTAGGTTTTATTTATAATAATGTTATGAAAGATTTAGCCTCAGGTGTTAATAATTTTAAAGTTACATGCAGTGTGTTTTAAGTTGAAATCGCTACTTATTAAGTAAGTATTCCTGAGGGATGATACGTAATTAGTTAACTAATTAGAAGTGATTTTGGAGCAGGGTGAGCAATATACCAATAATATGATAATTGGTATGCAGTTATTTTTTAAAACTTTATTGGTTACCTGTATGAAGTTATTTTGAAAGAAAAGTAGAATTAAGTTTTTTATATCAAATTAGACGGAAATGATAGAACCTAAGTGAATGATGACATTTATTTATTTATTTATTTATATATATTTTTGATAATCGGGTATTTTGAAATATGTGATAAATGAAAGGTGAGCTTCGCTGATTAAAATTAAATCAATGTACAAGGACAGTGAGATGGATTTAAGTTTATTTTTTTGTTGAGTAATTCAATTACATCCCATAAAAAAAAATAATAATATTGATAGGACATTGGAAATTGTTTAAATTATACATCATTATTCTTGGTAAGGAATTTATTTATGAGTATGATTAAGAGATTAACGGGCTTATTACATTTTTAATATCAGTGAGAGATGTGATTTTGAGTGAGAGTACATCAGTATTATTTTTTAAAGGGAGGGGAGCTGAAAAAGAATCTTTAGTACCTTTGGTTGCCTGCGCATAAGATGTATTTTGATAAAGATGTGAGATTAAAATGGTGTTTTTAATATCAAGGAGTATATTTTTTTACAGAGTTTTTGATTCAGAATAGTCGAGTATTAAAATATCTTGAGATGAAACAGATGAGAAGATTGAATTTATTTATGTTTGGGGCATCCTCGATATTTGGTTGGATGATCACACTCGGGTGGTTATTTTAAAAGTTTTTTGGCAGATTTTATTGGGAGTATGGTTATTGTATGGCTGTATTCGTGACAACGAAGACACTATACAGCATAATGTTAAACGATTGGTTCCTCTATTTTAATTTTTAAATAACATGAAAGTTTAATCTCTAATATATCTTTATTATTTTCGGTCGATTTGAGGTCTATAAAAATTAGTGGAAAAAATCACTTATTGAAGAACATTGGATATACTTCTGGTGGTATGACCGTGGGAAGTTAATAATTATTATATCTGAATATATCTGAAATACAAGTAGCGTGGTGTAGGTTTCTAACGACTATTCTATATGATAATATTTCTTGTTTTGACTAATATGTGTGGAAATCAGCTTTACTGGCGTTAATAAATTTAATAATAATAATAAAAGTTCTATAAGATGTTGGTATGATAGTAGACAATTTGAGTCCATTTGTTGAATTTTTACTCATGAAAAATTCAGTATTGGTGATTGATTGAATGGTTGTGCAGAGAGTTTATGATGAAGTCATTAACTAATCGTATAAATACTGAAGGAGGAAGTTTTAGTACTGGGTGGGTGTCATTCATAGAAACATTGAGTACAATATCTGATAAATTAGTGTTAGCTGATCGTGATATTTGTCTAATAAGTAATAATAGTGTGAAGCGATTTGAAGTTACAAACTGTTTGTTTGATTTTGGTGATACATTTGGAGAGATGTAATTGCGTTTGATCGGATTCGGAGTTTCCCACCCATCATTACTATTATCTTCCTATATATTTTCGAAGGAGTAATTTGGCACGTTTAGTATATGATATTTTGAGATGATAATAAGCATTGAAATAATTTTATTTTTATTATATTATGTGTCCGACATATTATTGATTTTTGAATTTGATAAGTTTGTTTTTTTTTTTTTACTTACCGTTCAGTTAAAATTATTTATTTTGTTTTATAATTTCCGAGGGCCGAGCTCCCGAGAGTGTTTGTGAGACTGTGAAAGTTTAGGAGAAAAGAACGTTGAAAAACAATTTCGTGAGTACAAGATAAATCACTTATATATAACACACTATATTAATTTTTAAATAATTAAACAAAGCGTAATATATTGATGTGGACATAACCACGTACGTTAACGATCAAGTACCTAGATTAAAAATTAGAACTGCTGATAAAATTAATTTACAAAATACAATAGTTTTATTAACTATAAAATAGTTTTAAAAGAACTAACGTAAGACAAACGTAATCATAATAAATTACACCTCCTGTAATATAATATGTATAATTACTGATTATTTTATCGTTGAACACTTATTTCAAGATTCCCTTTCCGTCATATATTTATAAAACAATTAATTGTAAAAAAAATTTTTTCAACTAATTTGAATTAAACTTAATTTTTTAAGTTTTTTAAAGTTAGTTGGCAAATAAGAAATTTATATTTGTCCTCTGGAGAGTACACTATGACTGAACACTGTTCCATAATCATATTTGTCTATAAAGTGTATGGAAATCAAGTATCCTCTATAGAGGACGGGATGACGGAAAGGGTTTTAACGTGTTTAAAAATATTTTTTTTACGTAATTCTCAGTCAAAATGTAACAATGTTTAAAAAATAAAAATACATTTTTTAATATATTTTTATGTTATGAATTTTTTACTTTTTTACTTTTTTGAATGAAAATATACATTTTTAATTTCATAGTCTGAAGGAATCACCTTGTATGTACGACAATATTTATCAAAAAACAACATATATAATGTTATGGTAAATATATATATATATATATATATATATATATATATGATTTTTGGTCCAAATTTATATTTTATAGTAGAAATGACGCACCGATCTTCAACATCGATGAAGAATTCTGGTAGATTATTGGGTATACATTTTACTAATGAAGGGGTAAAGTAAACATTTCTCAGTAGATACTATTCAAAACACACAGAAAAAAATAAAAAGTAACTGAATATTTTTAGATACCTATTTAAAATTTTCGAATTTTGTAGGTTTTATACTTACATAATATAGTAAAATGTTTATTTTTGAGTAATAAAACTTAAACTATCAATATAATGCGTTTGTTAGCTAACTTTTGAAAAATATTAATATCAAAATCATTTTTGCAATAATTTCATAGGTGTATTGATTTTTGAAAACATTTTTAATAATTGTCCAAATTGCAAATTATTTTGTAGACAAAATATTATTAGCAAACATAATTGTTTTTTCACCATATACACTGATGTATCATTGAAATAAAAATTATCAGATTAACTTCTTTAACCTACGTCTTAATGACGAAGACGTATACTCGATATACACTACACGTCTTTCACAGCGACTTTCATGTTTTATTACTTAAAATAATATCTAATTCAATGTATACAATTGAATGTACATATATATATATATTATTAAACCATAAAAAAATATCAAACGATTTAAAAATTATATTATAGTAATTTTTGTAAAAGTTATTTATTTAATTATGACAGTTATTTAAATTTAATATTGATTTTTTTTTTTAAAGTTTTCAAAAAGTAAAAATGACATATTTTGTAGTAAAAATATTTTTGTTTGGGGGTATAGGTACGGTTTATGGTAATATTATGCTAGAAAAAAAAATTGAAAAAATATTGTTAAAACATGTATTTCTAATATTTTAATAATTTAATTAAGATGTTAAGACACTTTATTGTAAAAAAAAAAACAGTATCATTTTTCCGGTTTATAATGAAACTTTTTTCTCGTTAAATAAAAGAAAATATTAGGGGTGCCATATTCTTAAATAGATGGAAGGTTTCCTTAGTCCTTTCTTATTATAGAGGCATAAGATGATATTATTCAATAAACAGAATTACTGTTAAAAATAACATACAATTATACTAAATATTTTATAATAATTAAATTATTATATACACCTACAATTGTAATAGTAAAATTATAAACACACTCTCCATGAGTAGGTGTTAAATTTAATTGATTTTCCAGAACATTACGTTACTGTCAAGGTTTAGCGAATCTTGTGATGATATCGGAGAATGTCACAATGATGACAAGTTAAATGATTTTCGAGCTATTAATAATGTCCCTTATCAATGCGCTATGTATAGTTTTTGTCCTGACCAATGCTGCCCTTTACGACGAGCAGCGCATCCGACAGAATGTCAAGAGGTGAATCCATGTCGAAATTCTATGGTTGAAGATAGAGTAAGTTGTTCACTTTTTCTTATATGTATGTTTGGTATGAAAGATCACAAATGTGAGTGTGATTAATTTATGAGGTAAAATTTGATTGATAAAAAATATTACTATACATTTGACTATTTTTTTTTTACATTTAATTTTTTTTTAAATTAAAATGTTGTATTACTTCTTAAATGAATACAACTTTAATTAATAATGATTTACGAAACAAATTTCCTGCAGCTGTCCCCGTATGACTTACTAACTACCACCAAACTGTTGAATTCATTTATAGTAATAGGAAAAAAAGGTAATTTATGTTATTAACTTAATTTTTTTATTGGCCATATCTGTTACCATGAGATTAAGATGATAAGTTATAAATTACAAAATTAAAACATAAGTATTCATTACCAATAATATTATAAATTTTTTTTAATTGATAAATTCATATTTTATAATGTAATCAAATATGTGCCATTTTGGATAATTAAATTTATTATTTTTTTTTTTTCAGGACTTTGAAAGCCATCTATAGCTAATTTTTATTAGCTATATATGTATTATTTTTAGATACAAATAATATAAGTACTTAAAATTATTTATATTTAGAAAAGATAAAAGGACATACATAATGCATAATATTGTCTACAACGATTTAAAAAAAATACATCTTATTATATAGAAATTATAATCATAGTAATATAGTTATAATTCTTATCTGATTAAATGTTATTTTCATCACTACACTGCAATAGTTATGTAGCGTTCCAATTCCATTGTTCCAAGTTATTGAGTTGTTATGAATGTCAAATCAATTTGATAATTACAGTTTTTAAATTTTCAGTCAAAAAATTATGTTCTTAAAAATTTAAAATCAAAAATCATAATTTAATTTTTATTTAATAACTCGATAGGTCCACTGACAATTATTTATGTTATGAAATAAACATTTTGTATTTTTTTATAAACAGTGCACATTTATTCGGAGCCATAACACCTGGTTATCATCTATCATATATAATGAATGGAATGTGTCATGTAATTGCAATCCTGGATATGAATGGGAATCAAGGTTAGCACTTCAGTGTATGCATGTATGTGTATGTTTGAATAAAAACAAATATAATTATTAATAAATTAAAACTAATTTTTTATCATGGTTCATCACTTTTATCCTTTATATGTTGAATAGTAAAAGTTAATCTATACTAAAATTTTTGAATAATCAAAATTGGTAATTACTTGAAATTTTGGAAATATGCCGTATGTTCTTTACTTTAATAACAAATAAATTATTCGTGTATTGAATAAAAGTTAAAAATAACGCCCATTATCATTAAAACGATTAATAAGTAATCTAGGATCATTTTTGGCATATAATATAAATTATATTTCACAGGATTATTATTCATTTACTCCACCTACTTATTTTTGACGTTGTACTTAAAAAGTGTTTTTATATAAATATATTTTATTTAAAACTGTGTGTATCTGACGTACATTAAAATTGTATCAATAATATAATAATTTATATAAGTATATGTATTTATTTATTTTAGATATGGTATATGTATTGATATAAATGAGTGTACGAAAAATTCTGATTTGTGTGATATCAAGACTGAAACTTGTATAAATCTTCCGGGACGCTACAAGTGTATTTGTCGCTGGAGCTTCCAGTGGTCAACAGAACAGCAAATCTGTGTCCCGGATATATTAGTGAAGAGTGCGGAAATCCGGTTGGTGACTGAACTATATTATCTTTAGTCAATTATCAAAATTTGAAATATTTAAATCAGAACATAATTTAATGCTTCAAACATATTTCATACACAAAATCAAATACCATAAAATAATTTATTCGACGCGCGATTAATACACGTTTTCTACTTGGACGAGTCACATTTCATTTTTAACAACCTTTAGCCGAGTCTCAGTAAAAAAAAAAAAATAAATAAATAAATCCAAACAGTTTACATAAATTTTGTAATTAGTTCAAGTTTAAAATTTTAACTTCAAAGAAACGTTTATTATAATAAAATAAAATTTATTTTAGTATTTTAGTCTATAAAAATAGTTATTTAAAAAAACCCATAAAATAAAATGTATTTTAGTATTTTAGTCTATAAAAATAGTTATTTAAAAAAAACCCGTCTATGATACATGTAAATACAAGGTTTCTGAAATTCTAGAAACGATAATTTTATTTTGATCTAATTAATGCATAATAATGCTGTGCTGTGTGTTACATTTGAAAAATAAGTGATCAAATTACGTAAGGTGAATTTCGGTTAAAGCCGTATTTGTTAATATTTCTTCAAAATGTTTTCATGACGGTAGATAGTTCTTCTTCGTACGTAGAAAAACTAATCAGAAAATTAAATTTACTAAGTACAAACTATGTTGAATTTCCAATTGATAGATTGGGTCACACAAAATTAGAAAAGCGGTATTTTGCAGAAAAAGATAATAAAAATAAAACACTATTTTACAATAATATTTTTCCATACCAACTTTTTCGTCACTTTTAAAGACAAAAAGAAAATAACCGACATTTTTAAAATATATACTAATATATAGTGTATACGTCTGGTTTATCCATAGTATAGTTCAATATTTGATCATACATCTCATTGTGTTAAAGCATTTAAACATTATCAATAGCTAGCAACTTCTATGTATTTATACAAAAAAAAAGAGTTTACTGATTAATAATTTATAAAATTACTATAAATAATAAAATTGTTACAAATTATACAAAAGAACCATGAATTTGTTTTATATTTTTTCCATTGAATAGTGTAAAATAATAAAACATCATGAAAATCTCAACAAAAATATAAGAATAAGTAGGCATAAACTTTTAAAATATTGATGATAAATTTATAGCACAATATTATATATAATTTAATTAAAATATTATAAAAATAACAGTAATTTTAAGCTATTAAGATTAATTTATTATTTTTAATAATATGTTTATGTGAAATTGTTTTTAGATACGGTCTGCGTTATAAACGTGATATGATAACTTATAAGTCATCTTCAGTTACCAACATGACTAATTTCATTTGGAATTTTATCATAAATGTTTGGAATCAAGTTCGTCATAGTATTGACGCATATAAAGTAGTATAAAGTATAAACATATACACGTTGCATATTTTATCGATGCAATGTCCCGATGCAGATAGATATTACTAAAGTATTGTTCATTCTAAGTATTGTACTATTTTAATACCTATATACAAATATTGAAATATATTATAAAAATTAATTGTTTAAATTTATTGTGATACTATGATCATCATTATTTTTAATTCAACATATCTGTGTTAAACCAAAAATAAATAACAAGTACCAGCCTAAAGTTTAAAAATGATAAAAATAAATAGCTTGTTTTTTTTTTGCCATCATATTAAATTTTATATAAAAAAAAAAAAAATATTGTTTTTCTGAAGAATTTAATATTTTTTTCAAAAAATCGAGAATCATAATATCACAACTTGAAGGTAAACAATGCATCATATTGTATATTTTTATTTTCAAGGCTGTAAGTATTACTGCTATGTAGTAACTTTCATCAAGACTTCAGAACATATATATTATTATTTATTTTTTTTTTGTTCACGCTCATATGCTTATTATAGCTTTTGATTATAAATTATATATAATATAATAAAATAGTGTATATTTTAATATTGATATTGTTTAAAACAAAGCTTTACAAATAATAATTTCATCTCATATTTTGAAATTAAAATTATAGGTAATTAAATATTATACATGTTTGTGTTATAATTATAACAATATATTTATTTTTTTTTTTATTTGAATATTTCAACTGTGTATACTTATCCTATATGAAACTTATAAATCTATGAAAATCTCTGATAAATTCTGGTTATCTTTAGCAATATTTCAAGTAATTTTTGAAATTTTTAGAATTCTACGGTATATATATATTTAGGATAAAAACTAATAAACATTTTAAATGAGTTTTTGAACAAACTATTAAACATGTAATAGTTATCTACTAAAAAAAATGTTAGTAGTTTATTACTTATAAAAAGAGGACTCAGTTATAGAGGATTTACTAAAAAAACGATAAAGAAAACTGTAGTTACATCTTGGTGTTAGATGTTATTAAACAAATTTTATAATCATTACATTGTATTATATTTCTTTAAATATATTATTATAATATTAATAAGTACAAATTTTGTACTTATATATAAGTATTTACATAAATCAATAAAATATATTATATTAATTGATTAGAAACAATCACATTGGATATTCTATGTACACAAACTCATATGTATATAATTACATAAATTATTTATTTAATTGCCATTTAACAGTTTGACAACTAAATCAGAAACAAAATCTAGGGTTTTTTGTTTCTTTGAAAATATATTAAGTTATATTTATATATGTATATTATACTCGTATATATATTAAAACCCCATTCATTAAATTAATATATCATATACATATACATTTATACCTGTTGTAAACATTTTGAAATATTGAGAAATTAAAGGTGATTCAGTGAAGTTTTTGGAAATCTAGAATTTTCATTAAATATCTAGTCATCTATTGAAATATCTAAAAACTTCAATTAATATTTTGAGACGTCAGGAAATTTCTAGTGATTTTTAGAAATCCTTGTAAATCAATAGATTTTGTCTTGAGTAATCTTTGAAATGTCTAATAATAAAGGAATATTTTTGATACTTTTGAAAATCACTGATAAGTTTAAATAGATGAAAATCATAACATACCAGTATTACCTAAATTTAATTTGTAATTCTAGCTTTATCATTATAATATGTACATTGTATAATACAAATTATAAAATGTTTTTAGTTTGATAATTTAATTTGGAATATTGAAATCTTACATTTTTGTATTTTATAGATTTTTGTATAAAATCTTCTAATTGTATTAAATTTATTATTGTGTAAAATCATGCCTATGTAATCAATATAAAAATAATAATAACAAAAAAAAAATTTTAACTATGAAAGTTTAGTACCGTTACAATAAATTGTTAACTTCAGGTATGAACACCCAAAGAAACAGAAGATTTGTTTTTGTTTTAATAAAGTTTGATACTTCGAGAACAACAAAATGTATACGACGAAAAAAAAAACTGTGAATAGCTGATTCCTAAAGACATAATATTAAAATTACATTTGAGTTTATTTTTCATCCGCGATAATACTCGCTAAACACGTAAAACAAAAGTTAAAATACCACTGTATCATATTCTAATTGAATACGTTTCTCAAAGATTATATTTTTTCGTAGTAAAAATAATAATTTATCTTGTTGTCTATGTATTTTTTTATGACGTTGTGAGAAAATAATACATACGGTAGAACAAAAGGAAAACGATTCACTAGTTAATTTACCCTCTCTGTGTTAATCTAGAACATCTCGGCGCCAAGACATTTGGGCTCAACCACTGGGGCGCCTTGTTATCTGAACAAATACAACAATTATAATTTATTTACAGCTGGATTATTCTATGCTTCTATGCAAGCATAAAGAAACATGGATAAATATTAAATATATATTATTTTATACACATATAAATACTTGTTGTAGGTCAAATAGTCATTTACCAACTATATTTTATGTATTACCACGCAAATGAACAAAAAGCTAGATTTGTAGTATTTTATTTACTAATAAATTATTGTTGTTAAATAAAAGAATTTTTTAATAATATTTTAAGAACTGTTAATCAACAAAATATATAAATAATATAAACTTAATTTTAATAGGATAATAATTAAATTTTTATTAAAAATTGTGGTTTAGATTTTTTCATGAAGGTTTTATGTTAATATTAAAAAAGGTTTATTAAGGTTTATACATTTTCATGAATTCATAACTAATAAATTATGTAGTTATCATATTATGTTTGCTTAAATCTGTTGTGACTTAAACGCTATGATCTGTGTTTTCTTTTATAAAATATTATAATATTTGCCTTGATCAAATAAATACAAAATTTAAGATATTTTGAAAAATAGCAGATCTCTATCATTTTTCATTGTTAAATGGTGAAATAAATCTAAATAGTCATCAATTTCATATTATACCCAGTGAAGCAAAACCTATCAAATTGTAACACTGTGCTTTTAAATTTACAATATAACAGCTGTTATATCTTCTCGTTTTTAACGTATACTCGTACATTTAAAATGGATATATATTTAATATTTTTCATCAAAAACAAAATATTGTTAAATTACAGTTTAAATTTTAAATTATTTCTAATAGCTTCCTACTTATGACCTATTATTTTTTGTGAATAAAAAAAATGTTCAGTTTTAATTGAAAATTGAAACTTATTAAAATATGTTAATAAAACAAATAAATTTTTCTTTTAATTAGTTGTTACTAAAAACTCAAAGATATCATCTAAATATATTTGAACCACGGTTTAATGCCGGTAGTTACACTACTATTAGACATAACTACGTAAATACGAAGTAAATATTTTTAAACAGAAAAAATACCACACATTCAATACAAATATTATTATCAAAAAAATGACATATAAATTGAATTTTTATACAATATATTTGTAGTAAATTCAAAATTATTAATAAGCCATTAGCTATTAGTAATTTTAATAAATAAAAATAGTTCATAATATTCCTTAAATAATAAATATTATCATTTTATTTTTTATTTTTCAAAATATTTTATAAATAGGTATAATTCATATTATTATTATAATATTATTTATATTCAAAACTAATATCCGACAAAAAATATAAATTATGATTTGACTATTATCATAGTCTATTTTTAACTACATTTGAATTACGGACCATTAGCCAGTCAAAAATAATATAACTTTTTACTTGATATAAACACGCTATAGTTTTTTACCTTTAATTTAACTCTTAACGTGTATGATACTCGTAATATTGGTCCGTAAATTATGTATGCAGAGAAGTATGCAATATTATTTTTATCGTTCTTAGCATTTTTACAATAAAAGTATTATTGTAGAGTCACGTCGTATCTGTCTATCTGCCATTCATACAACCGTACATTGAATTTTAAGTAAAAATAAATTTCAATTTGCATACCTAACACTATACAGAACCAAAAGAAATATAACAAAGTATAATTTTTCATTTTTTTTTTGTTTTAGAAAACCTAGTCAGCAGGGACTAATACATACAATATATATATATATATAGGTATAAGACTAGGTTTTATTTTATTGTAAACCTCTATATCCTAGAAAATATATTAAAGTGTTTTAATTTTGAAATACTGTCTATGTTTTAAAATGTTTAAAACGTCGAAAAAAATAATTTAAAACTTTTTATTTAATATTAATTGTATATACCTAATTGGACAATAATTTGATGAAGTAAATTCTATATAATATTATGTTATGATAATTTTTATTATTTTACATCAAACGACTTACGTATTTGTGCAACTAATCTTTTTTCCAGCAACACCAATGTAATATGAACCGAGTTGTCTCAGTTATTAATTATTATTATTACATAGCTCTATTAAAATAATGTTTGAGACGTATACATTTTTCAAAAACGTAAAAAAAAAAAAAACACGCGAAACTTAAATAAAGGTTCATATTATTATGACTACATCTTTGTATAAAATAAAAAGTATTTACAAAGAATATTCAAGTGCTTGAAGAGAAAATAAAATTCAAAATAAGTTATCAAAATCTTATAACGATATTCCCAAAAAGTTCTGAATACTATATACAGTACATAGGAGTAACTGGAGTGAGTATCTGAAATCTGAATGTTTTCAAAATAATATTTACCTACACGGCTACACATTATTATTAATCAATTAATTTTAATGAAGAGTCTTTGGTTAATTTCTAATGTTTTAACAACTATTCGTAATACTATACCCCTATTATAAACTCATAAGTGCAATTACATACCTATACACCTATACGTACGCAATCCTACAAATGTGTAACGAGAAGATTATTTACCGTTAACTCAGAAATTATACGGGTACTATATATATATATATATATATATATATATATATATATGTGTGTGTGTGTGTGTGTGTGTGTGTGCGTGACTGTATTGATATACCTATACACTCGG